AAAAAAAAAAAAAAATCTATTTGAAAGGCAGAGAGAGAGAGAGAGAGATTTCCCACTTGCTGGTCTACTCCTTAAATGCCTACAATAACTGGGACTGGAGCAGGCTGAAGCCAGGAGTCTGGAATTCAATCTGGGTCTCCCATGTAGGTGGCAGGAACCTAAGTACTTGAGCCATCACCTGCTGCCTCCCAGAGTGTGCATTAGCAAGAAGCTAGGTAGTAAGAAGAGCTGGGACTTGGACCCAGGCACTCTGATATAAGATACAAGTGTCCCAGTTGGTGCCCTAACTGCTGTGTGGAACACCTGCCTCATAGTCAATCATTCTTAAATCCAGTGTTCCTTATAGTTCCAGGCATGAATACAATGCAACCAAGTTCTTTGCTACAGTGTAACGTAACGATGGTGACCTTCCTCCAGCTTCCAGTAGGATCTTCCTTTCCATCTGAAACAGCTCTCTAGTCTGCTCATCTTCTGAGAGCTCACCAGAATTGCTCTGAGTGCCCTGCTTATAGAATTCTTGGCTTTGTAGCCAAATTCCAACAAATTCTTCTAAACTCTTCCTGTTATCCATTCCAAAGCCACTTCCATATTTTCACATATAGTTATAGCAGTGACCTCATTCTTGGTGCCAATTTTCTGCATTATTCAATTTTCAGTTATTCTAATGAAATCCTTGAGGCTGGGTAACTTTTATTTAAAAAAAGAGGTTTAGTTAGCTCAGTGAAACTGAAAAGCCAAACAGCATTGTACTGGCTCTTGCAATTTCCTACTTCCCCTGGTGCCTTCGGCTTCGTCACATGGCAAATGGCATCATGGGGGGAGCATGTGTGAAAGGGAGAAATCATATGGTGAGATAACACTCAGAGCATGACTCTAGGGCCAGGTTCACTCTTCTATAATAACTCATTCTCATGAGAACTCACTCAGAGTCCCAGAGAAACACCTTAATCTCTTCAAGGGCAGTGCCCTCACTGATCTACCAACTCCCAGCACCACACTGGGAACCAGGCTTCCAACACATTAACATTTGGAGGCCATACTCAAACCGTGTACAAACCATCACAAAGAGATAGAATTAAAATGTTTTTTGTTTGCTTGTTTTTGTTTTTTAATTTGCAAAGCAGAGTTACAGAGAGAGGGAGAAACAGAAAATGAGAGATCTTGCATCCTATAGTTCATGCCGCAAAAGGCCATAATGGCCAGGGCTGGGTCAAGCTAAAGACAGGAGCCTGGAACTCCATCTGTATCTCTCATGTGGGTGGCAGGGTCTCAAATACTAGCATCATCTTCCACTGCTTTCCCAACTGCATTAGGAGGGAGCCAGATTGGAAATGGAAAACAGCTGGGACTCAATTTGGTGTTGATATGGAATACCAGCATCACAGGTGGTGATTTAACCTGGGCTACAATGCCAGCCCTTAAAATTAAAGTGTTTTTAAGGAGCTGATTTTTTTTCCTGATACAGATAGTGGAATTGGTTAACTTTGAAATGTTAGTTAAGTATTGTTAAAAATTGAAGTTGGCCGGCGCCATGGCTCACTTAGTTAATCCTCTGCCTGTGGCGCTGGCATCCCATATGGACTCCAGGTTCTAGTCCTGGTTGCTCCTCATCCAGTCCTGCTCTCTGCTGTGGCCCAGGAGGGCAATGGAGGATGGCTCAAGTGCTTGGGCCCCTGCACCCACATGGGATACCAGAAAGAAGCACCTGGCTCCTGGCTTTGGATCGGTGTAGTGCCGGCCGTGGCGGCCATTTGGGGAGTGAACCAATGGAAGGAAGACCTTTCTCTCTGACTCTCTCACTGTCTATATCTCTACCTGTCAAAAAAAAAAAAAAAAAAATTTGAAGCTGACCATCAAAATAATAAAATAGAATGTAAAGTTTTCATCCAGAGGGGAAACATAATGTACCTTCCTAAAACATGAGATAGGAAACTTGAAAATTGAAGAATGGGAGAAAAATATAGACTACTAAGCAAAAAATACCTGGCTTAACAATGTTACCATCAGTTAAGAAATTTTATACAATAGTTATTCTTGGGGATGCAAAAGTCATTACTTAAAGGTGCAAGTTTCCAGGAAAAGATTACTATCTTGGATTCATATACATATATATATAATTTATTATGTATTATATACATATTATGTATTATATACATATTCATATACATATAACTTAACCCGGCATCCCAGGTTCTAGTCCCAGTTGGGATGCCAGATTTTGTCCCAGTTGCTCTTCTTCAAGTCCAGCTCTCTGCTGTGGCCTGGGAAGACAGTGGAGGATGGCCCAAGTGCTTGGGCCCTGCACCTGCATAGGAGACTACGAGGAAGCACCTGGCTCCTGGTTTTGGATCGGCACAGCGCACTGGCCGTAGCGGCCATTTGGGGGGTGAACCAATGGAAAAAGGAAGACCTTTCTCTCTGTCTCTCTCTCACTGTCTAACTATGTCTGTCAAAAAAAAATTGATAGCTGACATATAAACTCAGATCCAAGTGTATATGATAATACATAACAGAAAGATGTTATAATCAACATTTGGTTATTCAATAAGAAATACTTGAATAATTCACATGGAAGAATAGATATCCATTTGTGTGAATAAACGTATTTAGATGTATTTAAGACCTAAATGTGAGATATACACTTTATTTATTATTTTTCTTAAAGACTTTATTTATTTATTTATTTGAGAAATGGAGTTAGAGGGAGAGACAGAAAGAAAAGTCTTCATCCACTGGTTCACTCCTCATATGGCCACAATGGCTGGAGCTGACTGATCCAAAGCCAGGAGTCAGGAGCTTCTTCCAGGTCTTCCACGTGGCTGCAGGGGCCCAAGGAATTGGGCCATCTTCAACTGCTTTCCTTGGACATAAGCTGAGAGTTGGATTGGAAGAGGAACAGCTGGGACTTGAACCAGCGCCCATATCGGGTGCTGGCACTGCAGACGGGGGCTTAGCTTACTATGCTATCATGCTGGCCCCAGAATAGAAACTTTAAAACTAAAGGTAGAAAATGTAGGCAACATCTTCATTACTTTAGAGTAGAGAAAGATTTCTTAAGACAAGAACATAATAAATGCAAATCACCAAGACAAAGATACCACATACAAATCGAAGAGAAACTGGTTGACACGGAGAGGTATTTGCGACACATAGACCTAACAAAGTGCTAGCACCTAGAATGTGCTTTTCCTCTGGGAAGGAAAGATCTTTTTGGGCTTCTAGTTCAAATTGCAGGATCATGTGGTTCTGTTAGTCTGATAGCTGATGGAGGCTGGGACCAATGGAGTGGGTGCAGAGATGGGGTTCATGGTGAGCCAGGAGGCAGAGAGTGAAGCTCGGCCACTGAACTGCAATAAGCACCCTCCTATGAGAGGTGCTGTCTGAAGGCAAACCCCCAATGACCTGGAGATCTCCTGACAGACCAACCTCATGAATATATAACTAGATCAGATCTCTCCCCTAGTCCATCCACATTTTATGTAAGACTTCAGAGTGAAACAGCTGCACGAGTTTAGGGAGCCTTGTCCTGTTCAATTTCATAATATTCTATTTCTGGCTCCCCAAAATTCACATCCTCACATGCAATATAAAATCCCCCAAAGCCCCCAAGTTTGAACTCAGCCCAACATTAATTAAAAAATCCATAGTCCAAAGTCTCCTCTGAGACTCAAGACAAGATCTCTTAGCTGTGAACTGTGAATTCAAAAACAAGATAATTACTTCCAAGATAAAATGGTGGGATAGGCAAGGGGTATACATATCCATTACCAATAGAGGAGAGAGGGATAGAGAAAGGATTCAAAACAAGGCAGGAAACCTGCAGGGCAAATATTAAATCCTAAAACTCCATGTGAAAGGAATGAGTTGAAGAAAGATATGTATTATATGATAATATTTATGTAACAATGTTATACACAGTATGTGCATTTACATGTATACACAATATATATGTATGTGTTGTGTAAGTATGAGAATATGCACTGAATATATACACTGATTCTTTTACCTCTGGGAAGGAGATGAATGGGATTAGCACGGGATACAAAAAAGATGTGAAAAACAATAACATTTAAAAATCTGGGTGTTGAGTAAATGGGTGCTTGTTACATTTTTTTCTGTATCTTTGAGAAAATTTGTTATTAAAAGTAGTAAATAGTGTTGGAGATATGGGAAAATTGAGTTAGAGTGGGAAAGGAATGCCCAAGTTCTAGAGCCTATTGTGTTAATTCAGGTCACATACAAGGAAGGCCAGTAACCATGAAAATTGAAAAAGGACAATTCTGAAATACAAGTATATTTCAGAGATAAATAATCTATGGAATTATTTTAGGACAATGATTTTTCTATTTATATAATTCTTTTTTCTAAAAATATAAAATATGCCCTTGACTATTTTTTAAGTATGCAGTTTAATTGTATTCAATGTATTCACATGGTTGTGCAGCCATTGCTTGATCTGTCTTCAAAACTGAAATTCTATACCTGTTAAACACTCATTCGTCATTCCCTCTCTCCTAGCTCTAGAAACCAGCATTCCACCATCTGTCTCTATGAACTTGGTTATTCTAGGTACCGCTTAAGTGGCATCATACAGTATTTGTCCTTTTGGGACTGGCTTATTTGACTTAGCATAATGTCAATCATGTTGTGGCATGTGTCAGAATTTCCTTCTTGCTGAAGACTGGATATTTTAAGAATGAATGTTTTGTTTTGTTTATCCATTCATCCTTTGATGGACATCTGGGTTGTGTCTTCCTTCTGGCTACTGTGAATAATACTGCTCTGAACATGGGTGTATTAATATCTATTCAAGTCCTTGCTTTTGATTCTTTTAGGTTTGTATCCCAGGTGGAGTCACTGGAATATACTAACCCTATTTTTGACTTTTAGTTTGAGGAAGACAATAGTTTTTATAAAGGTACAATTTTCAGATTGCAGCTACAGTGAATACTATATTGCATTCGAATGTTCATCTGTGTTTCCTCACTATTACTTTCCAGCAGCTTGCCAAGTTTGCAAATAAGAATTCTCACAGAAATTTTGTTACCATGGATACGAGGAGCACAGGATTCTGCAGAGGCGTCATTAGAGTAGAGCCAACCACTAGGGGCCATCTGCCACTCAACGGTGAGTAAATGAAAATTTACTAAGAAAATCTAAATCAGCGATAGAGAGATTGTCTCTGTCTTCTGTATGAAAAAGTACTCTTGCTGATCTAGGTTTTGTGACTTCCTACATAACTGTAATAGCTGATCTGTTTCTCTGTATGTTCTAAGTAGTGTCAAGCGAGATGTCTAAGAATGAAAAGTCTTCAATCCCAGTCAGAGTGATTGATATTTACATTAAACAAAATATAAACCTAAAATTGAGCAAAAACTCAATTTGTATTTTTTTTAAAGATTCATTTTCTTTATTTGAAAGGCAGAGTTACAGAGAGAGAGGTCTTTCATCTGCTGATTCACTCCCCAAATCGGCACAAGGACTTGGGCTGGGGCAGGCAGAATCCAGGAGCCAAGAGCTTCTTCTGGGTCTCCCATGTGGGTACAGGGGCCCAAGCACTTGGGCCATCTTCTGCTGCTTTCCCAAGCACGTTAGCAGGGAGCTGGATTGGAAGTAGAGCAGCCAAGACTTGAACTGACATCCATAAGGGATGCTGGTGCTGCAGGCAGAAGCTTTACCTGCTACACCACAGCACTGACCCCTCAATTTTTATTTCTAAAATTACATAATGTGATGCAGGTTCATTGTAGAATAATAAAAAATAGAGATAATAAAATGAGAAAATTAAAATAATTTTTAATTCCTCCCACTTTTTGTTAAATTATCCAGATTATTTTCTAGGCATTAGTACTTATATATTTAATCCAATTTTAACTGTAAAATAGAACCATCCAATAATTTATTTTGTTACTTTTTCTCCAATTAATATATTGCATGTTATACCCATATAATATCTTTGTAAAATAAAATAATAATTGAAATTCCAAAGTAATCATTTTATGGATGAAATATAGCCCAATTATTCAGTGTTATATTATTGAACTTTTTAATCTGAAATTTTATCTTGCCAATATGGCAATGAAAGTTCATTGGTAAATTTTTAAAAAAGATTTATTTATTTGAAAGGCAGATTTACAGAGAGGCAGAGGCAGAGAGAGAGAGAAAGAAAGGGCTGGTTCACTCCTTAAATGGCTGCAACAGCTGGAGCTGCAACTATCCAGAGCCAGGAGTCAGGAGCTTCCTCCAGGTCTCCCACGTGGGTGCAGGGGCCCAAGGACTGGGGCCATCTTCTACTGCTTTCCCAGTGCATAGAGAGAGCTGGATTGGAAGTAGAGCAGCCGGAACTCTAACCAGCACTCATAAGGGATGCCAGCATTGCAGGTGGCAGCTTTACCTACTATACCACAGCACAGGTACTGATAGGTAGATTTTTAAGTTCATCCCTTTAAAAGATAAATTCAAAAAAATATTTGTCTAATGGTTTGCATAGATTCTAATTTCTTCCAAAAGAGAAAATATTTGCATATTTGTTCAGTATAAAAGGCATATAAATTTATTATTAGTTCAAATAATACAGAAATGGATAAGAAAGATAACATTACCTTTAGTCCTGAAGGTAACCTTCAGCATATGTAGACAATTATATAAGTGTACGTGTACACAAGTAGTATCTGTTATCCAGAATGCCTGGTAACAGAAGTGTTTCAGTTTTTGTTCTGAGGTTTTTTCGCTTTATTTTAGAATATTTTGGAATATTTGCATCTTTATTTTTGGATTTTACTCATTGAGCAGCCCTAATCCCCCAAATTTAAAATATTTTGAACATTATGTTGATTTTGGGTGTCAGGGCACTTTGGAGTTCAGATTTTCAGAATAGGGTTGCTCACACAAAAAATAAGAGACCTAATTTTACTTGAGTTTGGCAGTAGTGTTTTTTTTTTTTAACTGAGAGTGAATCTTTTTCATGTTGTTAATATTCTTGTACAGTGTCATTTTTGATGGTTTCAGATTGTTCCATTCTTGTATTATCCAAGTCAACCCCAGTTCTTCAATCTGCTGGAGGACAATGCTGATGACAGCCCATGCCTACAGGGGCTTCCCCGCCCACCACCAGCTGATTTGTGCAAGACCAGGTGTTTGACATGTGGGCAATTTTGGGTAGCAAGGAGGCTTAGGGAAAAACTTCATTTCAGATGGGGAAGAGCTGAATCAATTGTGATCTGATTGTTAGATTTGAGCTGGGAAATTAGCAAAGTCAAGCCGTTCACGTTGGGTTCACAGCCTGAAGATGCATGGAGAAAGGTCAAGAGAGAGAAAGGTCCCCAAGAGGTCAGGAATAGGTCACTTAATGAGATGAGAAGCCAAAATTATGCTGACAAAATGTGAAGTTGGTACAAATATGTAGAATAAAAAACAATATTTTAGTGTAAATGATTAAGAAGAGATGAGCATTTGAGTATTGAAAATCCTACTTAAATGATATGTGACTTGGGTGGATTAATCTTCTGAACTGTAGTTTTTTTATTATTAACACATGTCTAATAATATATCTATAATTGAATTGTTGGAGGAATTTATTAAACTAATAAATGCAGTTATTATAGCTTTCTTCCCAATTGTATTTTGTACCTTGCATTTGATGTCCTTCTTGTGCTATATTTTGCATCTCCTGGCATACATTAATTTATGAATATGTAATTAATAATTGAATGCTGTGTTCCAGGAAGTTTTCTCATATTAAAATCTAGGTTTTTTATTAATTAAACATTTGAAATAACGAAATCAATTTTCTAATCTATAGCTCTCTACCTTTATGGGTAAAAGGGAGTCTTTTTTTCTTTTAAGATTTATTTATTGGCCAGTGCCACAGCTCAGTAGGCTAATCCTCCACCTAGTGGCGCCAGCACACCGGGTTCTAGTCCCGGTTGGGGCGCCAGATTCTGTCCCTGTTGCCCCTCTTCCAGGCCAGCCCTCTGCTGTGGCCAGGGAGTGCAGTGGAGGATGGCCCAAGTACTTGGGCCCTGCACCCCATGGGAGACCAGGATAAGTACCTGGCTCCTGCCTTCGGATCAGCGCGGTGTGCTGGCCGCAGCGCGCCAGCTGTGGCGGCCATTGGAGGGTGAACCAACAGCAAAAGGAAGACCTTTCTCTCTGTCTCTCTCTCTCTCACTGTCCACTCTGCCTGTCAAAAAAAAAAAAAAAAAAGATTTATTTATTGGAGCTGGTGCTGTGGCAATGTAGGCTAAGCTTCCGCCTGTGGCACTGGCATCCCATATAAGTGCTGGTTCAAATTCCAGTTGCTCCTCTTCTGATCCAGCTCTCTGCTTATGGTCTGGGAAAGCAGTGGAAGATGACCCAAGTGCTGGGACTCCTGTACCCACATGGGAGTCTGGATGAAGCTCCTAGCTTCGGCCTGGCCCAGCCCTGGCCATTGTGGCTATTTGCAGAATGAACCAGCAGATGAAAGATTTTTCTCTGTCTGCCTCAGCCTCTGCCTCTTTGTAATCTGCCTCTCAAATAAATAAACACAATCTAGATTACAGAGAGTTACAGGGTTACAGAGAGAGGGAGAGACAGAGAAAGGTCTTCCATCTGTTGGTTCACTCACCAAATGGCTGCAACAGCCAGGCCTGGGCCAGATGGAAGCCAGGAGCCAGGAGCTTCATCCTGGTCTTCCACTTGGGTGGCAGGGACTTAAGCACTTGGGCCATCTTCTGCTGCTTTCCCAGGCACATTAGCAGGGAGGTGGATAGGAAGTGGAACAACCAGGACACAAACTTGTGCTGGTATGAGATGCTGGTGCTGCTGGCAGCAGCTTAACCCACTACACCACAGCAAGGACCCTATAAAAGGAGATTCTACTGAGAGTGCTTGTTTAATTTGGAGCTTCTAAAATTTGCATTTTGTTTTCCTTAGTTTCCTGAAGTCTTGGATGGTTGAAAGAACATTACAAAGGCGTATTGGCGGTGAAATGTCAGTTGGCTCCTGGGTAGACTATCTTCTCACATGAGTTGCGGTTTCTTAGCTTTTCCTCTTGGAAAGGGAATAGCTAGTGTTTTCTTTCTAGCCAGAATGGTACAGAGGACAGTGCGTGGCTTCAATTTTTAGCCATGTCAACTTTCAATCTCTTCCCATCCCCTCCCTACAAATAATGAGGGACTACGTGGCATGTATAAATAGCTTCTGTTGAGAACATCCTCATATCTTTGCCCCTCTCATCACCAAGCAGGGCCCGTAACTGATGTTGCAATTAGAGTACTGATTTAGCTCTGAGAGGCACATTGCAAATGATCCAGCGAGGAGCACGATATTTATATCAGTACTGACTGATGAAGGCTTTGTCAACTGTACCTTTGGCAGATGGTTTGATGGCATGTCCCTGGGTTAATCTACTGCTCATTATAGCTGAGGATCCATGTTGATGTTTTCTGATGCAGTCATCTTGCACAAAGTGCCACAATCTTTGTGAACACTGATAATTAAGCAAATAACTCCAAGTTTAGGGGTCAGCATGAAAGCTGTAGGAGAGGATACATTTCGGGATTTACTTGGGTATAAGTCATTTGGTGTCATCTGTGCCAATAGGAATGTGTATTTGTGTATTGCTGCTTTAGTTGTCTATCAAGAAAAAGGAAATAAAATGGATTGCCTATTTATGTTTGCTATAGAAATGTGGGAAATTTGAAATTATCATTTTGCACACCTTATAAGCTGTGAGTGCTTGAAAACCATAGTATATTCTCAGGTCAAGTAAGTCATACAGAGTTACAAATTATAAGTTGCTTTTAGTTACTTGGTTAGAGTTAAAAGCCAGTAATGGATTATCTACTTATTAAAATATAAAATATGCAAATTATATAGTTATAGCATATACTATATAGTTGCATATCATATATTGAATGATATACTTAGAGTTTGTATAATATAATTTATATACTATGAAAAAAATATATGAGATTTCAAAAAGTTAGTCAAAAGTAGAATTAAAAGATAATGTGAAGTTTCCATTTGTTTTTTGAAGTCTTTGTGTGTGTGTGTATGTGTGTGCATGTATCTGTGTATCTGCTTCCTGAAAGCAGAAGTGTAGTGGAAAGAGAGAGGCAGCTGAGCTCATTCTCTTTCTCGCT